TTAGCTAACTATAATAGGGCTCCTGATTATTATTGCGCCTTTCGCTACTTAAGTTTAGCAGTAAATTTAGGTAGAGAGGCAAGTAGTATAGAGGATAGGGATATTGCGCGATAGCTAGGCGGTTGAGGTGGCTAAAACGGGCACCTAGAGGCCTATTTTGAAGCCCTATCGCGAAGCCTCTGTAGGCGGAGCTGTACGTGAGCGGTAGTTGTAGCTTGCCTAAAATAAAACACTAAGCTTCTATACTAGATAAGTATTATCTAGTTGCTAAGTTAGTTACAAAATTAAGTGCTAAGTTATTATATTACAGTGCTAACTCTATATAGTTTAGATGTGCCCGCACTAATGCAGACCCTGGCTAAGTGGTAGGCCAAATACCGGCTTAGTGGTAGGACGAATAACTTTTGCCACCGCGGGCGTGCCACCCCCGTCCAGCGCTGCCCGCTGCCATTTCCCGCTGAGTCTTGCGCGCCGCCCGCCAGCCAATCGCACGCCTCTCGCCCATCTGCTTGCCACCCCCCTCACTCGCCCTCACACACTCACTCACACACTCACTCACACACTCACGCCTCTCCCTCCTGTCCTCGCCGTGTGCCCGGCTTCTTTTCTGCCTGCCTGCCTGCCCGCACGCACGCCCGTCTTTGCTTCTGCTCCTTTCTCCCGGGCCTGCCACGCCGCCACATCGTCGTCCCTGCAGTAGTGTCGGACATTAAGCTACTTAGTAAGAGGGCCTCCATCCACACCCCGGCCCTGTATCGCCTGCACGCGCGCATAGCCATACGCGTTGGAGCAGGTGCTAACTGTGCGACACAAGCTGCCCGCCGCCTCCTCCAATTTCTTTTGCTCCCTCGCTCCCGGCCTGCCCCCAATCTCTCGACCGTGTCTGGGTTAGGGAAGCCTAGTTGCCCTTCCGACCGCGCTGCATCTCTTCTCTCCGCTGCTAAGATTGCTCACGCGCCCCAAGAGTGCACCACTGATATTAAGAGGCTGCCCCCCCCTCCCGCCCACCATGGCCACCTCGCACGACAGCCCTCTTAATCCCTCCAATCCCCCGGCCCCCAAGGACGACTCCACCGAGGCTGCTGCCCGTCCCTCTATTGCCCAGTCGCATTCTTCTCTCGAGCAGTCGGGCTCGCGCAGGACCAGCTTCAACTTCTTGCGCCGCACCAGTGGAAAGAGCTCGTCCGAGACGCGCGGTACTAGCGCCAGTCGCAGTGCTTCCGGGAGCAAGATGAGCAAGAAGCAAAAGGCCCTCGCCCACGAGGAGGCCCTCCGCAGGCAGCGCGAGGCCAACATGCTCCCCAACCAGCCGCCCCGCCTGCCCTCGCACTCGGCCCTGCCCCAGATTGCAACCTTTGGCGGTGAAGATGCCCGTCCCGACTCCATCGCCATCGTCTCCAACAAGGTCGGCACCTACAACCCCAATGCCCTCAACTTCAGCCGGCCCTCGATGGACACGTCCCGCCTGGCCCGCCAGCCCAGCCAGCCCAGCCCTGGAGTCATGTCCCCCGCTGTCGGCATGACGCCTGGCTCGTTTGTCGACCAAGACCCGTACCCCAGGATCGAGAGCATGACCAACCGCGGCCGCTATAGCTACGCCAGCAGCCACGTCAGCACCGTCAACAGCCCTCGCCGTGTGCGCAGGAGGAAGGACCCCACGCCCTTCAAGTACGTTGTCCAATCTCCCGCTGCCCCCAGTGCCCCCCGCAGGCTAACAAAGCATTCCAGTATCCTCGTCGTTGGCTCCAAGGGCTCGGGCAAGTCTGCCTTTATCGAGTTCCTGCGCACTGCACTCGCGCTGCCCGCTCGTAAGCGCCCAACCACGCCCTCTCCACCTGCCACTGCCGTGGGCAGCAATGAATCGCCGTTTACTTCCGAGTTCCTCGAGACCGAAGTAGACGGCGAGCGAGTGGGCGTCACCCTGTGGGACTCGGAGGGCCTGGAGAAGAACATTGTCGACTTCCAGCTGCCCCTCATCACGGCCTTTCTCGAGTCCAAGTTTGAGGACACGTTTAGTGAAGAGCAAAAGGTTGTTCGATCTCCGGGCGTCAAGGATACGCACATTCACTGTGTGTTCCTCATCCTGGACCCCGCCCGTTTGGACCAGAACATTGCCGAGTCGCGCAAAAGGTCCAAGGTCGTCAATGCTGGCAGTGCCATTTTCGGGGGCTTGGACAAGAACCTGGATCTCAATGTGCTCCGTGAGCTGCAGTCGAGGACAACTGTGATTCCAGTCATTAGCAAAGCAGACACCATTACCGGCGCCCACATGCGCTATCTCAAGAAGACGGTGTGGGATACCATCAAGCGTGCCAAACTGGATCCACTCGAGGCTCTGAACCTCGACTTGGGCGACGACGATGACGACCTGCTAGACGAGCGTGACGAGGATGAGTACGGACAGTCTGACGACGAGGACAAATCCGAGGTGCTCAACAAGATTCTGGAACGATCGTCGTCCGAGGCCGCTCGCTCGATTGCCTCGTCCAACGAGTCGGACAAGTCCTCTTCTCCGACATCGCCGCCAAGTGTTCAAAAGAACCACAGCCGCAAGGCGTCTGCCATTGCTACGTCGATTCACAGCGAAGACGCCGAGTCTCCCTTCCTGCCGCTGAGCATCATCTCGCCGGACCCTTACGAGCCCGAGGTGGTTGGACGTAGATTCCCCTGGGGATTTGCTGACCCGTACAACCCAGAGCACTGTGACTTTGTCAAGCTTCGGGAGAGCGTCTTCAGCGACTGGCGAGCTGAGCTCCGTGAGGCTAGCCGTGAGCAGTGGTACGAAAACTGGAGGACCACCCGTCTCGAGAAGGGCAGACGACGGGTCGTGACTGCAGATGGACCCGCTTCCAGACAACTTTCCGTTCCCACCACCAACGGCCGCGCAGTCAGCGCGGGATCCCGCGACTACGTTCCATACCGGCCCAGTGCCTTTTAGCCACGTATCTGCGCTGGTATGTCCTGGATGACAAAGTCGCCCATTCCGCCATTCTTCAAGCAACATCTATCGGACAGTGCATATTCGAGCCAGCCAGCCGCATCAAGCTTTTCGAATATCTTGCACTTTAGCACTATTGCCTTGGACATGGTACATGTATACGCTCGAAGCGTTTTTCCTATGTCGACATGTACCTGATACTCTTTTGTCTTTTTACCTTTTGTCATTGCTGGTTTCGATATTGCGCATACCCATTTTCTGCTGTTTTTGTATTCATCCGATTCAAGCTTTTCGGTCACTGTCCATTCTTGCACAAGGATGCCAGTGGCCAGGTTTCGACGCTGAGCGTAGTTTTATGGAGGTTTGAGCAGTGCCAAGGTACTTGCAAAGTCTATTTAGCGACCAATTCTGTCACGAGAGCATTTGGACAAGGTTTGAGAGGAGGTTTGAGGAAATGTAAAAACTTTTTTAGCTCTCGACTGCTTGACTGGGCGTGATGTTGGAGCTTGTATGTTGAGGGCCGGCCGTATTACCATGTGGGGTTAAGACGAGACCGAATAGTCGATTCCGGCGAATCCCCTTGCTTTTTCCGGTTGACCAATGGCGACGCCAGACCTCAACGCGTGCTCGCACTGCCCGACATGTTCCTCTCAACGGACGGCAGCGAGGAGGAGACGTTCTGAATCTGCAATGGTTGCTGGAGCCGTGTCTTGACCATTTGGAGTATAAAACATGCAGCATGCAGTCGTTTACGCAGGCTCTGCACTGGTTCTGGCGTGCATCTTGTGTGCGCTGCTTCATCTTCTCTGGGACGGCGGCGTCGACATGGCCTCTCGCAGTTATCTTTCACTGATCCTGGCAAGCATTGCCACGTGCCTGTCGGCCCAGAATGCGTCCGGGGTAGATCTGGGCTGGTATCCGCCCAAGAAGAGCTGGATCAACAGTCTCGACCAGGTACTCAACAGTACCGGAACCCATGGCTTTGTCTTCAACAGCTCGCAATTGCCGGCGGGCGTGCCGTACGGCACGTACAATTGGTGCAACATGCCCCATGTGCGGAGGGAAGAGTATGTAAAGGCTGCTGATGAGTTTGAGCTCGTCTACGTCGAAGTGTAGGTATCCCTGTTGGGCATATATCCAGGCTGCATGACTTACCAATGCAGCATCCACCGCCACCACAAGCGCACGCCATATGCATCCAACACGTTCCCGCGCGAATCGTACCGCTGGGAATGCAAAGACCAGGGCCTCTTCTACTACGGCGAGCCCCTCGCCCACGGCGCCAACACCTCGGCCTCGACGTACTGGAGCGTCTACACCGACACGGTGAACCCGTTTCCCCAGCCCGGCTTCAACGGATCCTGCCAGTTCCCGCAGATTACGCGCGAGGGCCTCGACGACTCCCAGCAGCACGGCAGCGATCTCTTCGCCGTCTACCACGACCTACTGGGTTTCCTTCCCAGAGACCTCAACCACCGCGTGAGCTACCGCGTAACCAACAATGTCATCACAAGCCAAGTCGCAGGCATGCTCGTACGAGGCATGTATGCGCCTCGACAAAAGGTGCCTCTCCACATCCAGCCGTCCACCATCGACTCCCTCGAACCAGCCTACTCGTGCCCCGCAGCCACCAAGCTCTACGCATCCTACGGCGTCGGCAGCACCGCCGCAAACTGGACTGCGCATCTCAATGCCTCGCGCCCGCTCTTCACCGCCCTGGATGCTATCAGCGGCATTGCTTCCAACGCTACAGACTGGCACGTCTCATTCGACCACTACTACGACAACCTGTCTGCACGCCAATGCCACGCCAAACCTCTCCCTTGCAGCACCCGCGCCCCGCACCTCTGCATCTCGCAAGCCCAAGCCGACACCGTGTACCGGCTAGGTCAATACGAGTACTCGTTTATCCATCGCGATGCGCCGCAGTCGCTGCGTGCGGCCGCCGCCTCGTACGGCGTGTACCTGGCGGAACTAGCGCGCAATATGCGGGCTGTGCGCGCGGGAACCCACAGTGTGCTTTACAGACATAATGTCGCGCATGATGGCTCCGTGGCGAGGTTGTTGAGTTTCCTGCAGGTCCAGAGTATGGTGTGGGTGGGTATGGGGGCCGAGGTTGTGTTTGAGGTTTATCGGCGGTGGGAGGATTGCAATACTGATAGTAGTAGTAGTAGTAGTAGTAGTAGTAGTAGTAGTAGTCGAAGTGAGGCTGAGGCTGCTGGAAACTGGAACCACTACATCCGCATCCTATGGAGCGGCCAGGTCCTGCACAGTTCCAACCCCAGTCTAGGTTCCATCGACATGCTAGATCTAGATGTGTTTCTGGCATATGTCGAGGGGCTTGTGGGGAGGAGTGGGGCTGAGAAGGTGTTGAGGGGGTGTGCGGTGTAGGGCCATGTACATGTACATGTATGCTGCATGTATGCTGCATGTATGTTGCATGTATGCTGCATGTTAGAGTTGGATAGTGTTGATGATAATGTGAATGAAAATAATAATGATGATGATGATGATGCTACTGTATATATGCCAGATACTCAACGATACTCAAAAGTATCATATATTGTAGCTGTGTTGTTATCTACTACAGGCATGATTATGGTACTTATCAGTCTTGCATACTCGTCTACATGCTGTGTAAGTACATAAGATGCATACATGCATACATCCATGTGGTAGCTTATATTATACTATACTGTACTATGTTATTCCAATAGTTGGGGAGACTACTTAGTACTACTGCTACACCATGTGCGACGCTAACCCACGTGTGCACCACTTGAGTAGCTACACAAAGCTTACACTTATGCAGCGACATGCAGGGCACTACTTAAGTCAATAACTTGGTTTTTTTTTCTTTTTTGCACAACGCTGGTTCTGGCTTTGATTCTCCAACTTAAATCATTAGTTTTGAACTAGTAGTAGATTTAGTTTTGTGAGACGAGTTTTTACAGTGAAGTTGGATTGATTGATTGATTCTACAACACATAATATTACTCCAACAAACCCCTCTCTTCATCCTCGTCCATCGTCTTCTCACTCGTATGCCGATACAAGACGTAGTGCTGCAGCATGAAGATGACGTCGAACACGATTGTAACGTTACCGAGACCGAATTTGACAGGGTTGCCCGTAACACCGCTCCAGTCGTTTTCCAGCGCCGAGTCGATGCACAGCTGGGCGAGCGACAGCCAGCCGCCGGCAAAGTCGAGCAGCATGGGGTAGATGCTCCAGCCTTGTGTTGATTTGCGCTTGTAATTGACCCAGGCTTGGGGAATGTATTTGAGGATTACCGTGAGCAGCTTGACGTAGCCGAGCGTGTAGATCTGCAGGATTGTTGGTATATGTAGCATGATTGTATTGTAATATGGGTATATAAAACTCACCACGTCGATCCACGCCCACCCCTCGGCGCTGTACCCGCCATGCACGCCCTGGACCCGGACCAGCACCACGACGCCCAAGACGGCAACGACGCATGCCCACCACACGCCCAAGATGGCGCGACTGACGCGCTGCCGCCGCCCGACTTCAAAGCCCCAGATGCTCTCGAAGAACTGGCTGTATATAATCACACACATGACGGCGCCGTGGGCGGCAAACAAAAAGTCATTGAAGCGCACCGTCGTCTGCGGGGCATCGGGGTGGCGCTGGGCATACTGCGTCTTGATGGTCGGGGAATAGAGGAACGAGGCGGTGGAGACGGTGTAGCAGGCAAAGCCCAGGACGTTGAGCGTGGGAAAGTCGATGGCGAGGCCGAGTGTGGATTTGCGCACATAGTTGGAGATGGGCTGGGGGTAGAAGGAAAGGGACCTGCATGCGTGGGGTTAGTCTTTGTGAGGGGTCAAGGGGTCAGGTTATCCAGGCGCACCAAGCAAGGAAGTAGGCCCAGCCCAGGACGCGTGATAGGGCGCGCGCAAACGCCTCGAGTTCGGGGCTTGTCATTGTGCTGGCGGGTGAGATGGAGGGCAGCGGTGAAAAGGGGGAGAGCGCGAGAGAGCAAATGTACATGTACGGCATGTGGCGTGCCGGTATCTAGTGTCGCACGAGCATGGCGGATGGGCTGGGTAGCAGAAGGAGGCGCGATAGGTTTCAGAGAGGACGAACAAGTCGCGTCATCGCACCTAAGGGCCAGGTGATGCTGCGGCGTGTTGCAGCCATGTGCATGTGCATGTGCAATTGCGACAGCGGCGGATGTGCGGGATGATGAGCCCATGTGCGTGGGGGCCAGGGGTGCGCCCTGGTCGTCGAATGCGGCCTGGGTCCATGGTAGGCTGGGCGTATACTTGAATGTATTCAATATCAACTGGCTGTGGACAGTGCGTGGATGCTGTCAACACAATTGGATCATTATATAATTACAGTCGGAATTCAATATACATGTGCTGAGCAGGTTTGATGTTTCCAATATCAAGGCACGTGACGTCGTGCAGCCAAAGCTTACTGGCTTTCGAGATAGAGCTTCAGTCCCTCTCCCTGGCCTTTGAACGATTCTTCCAAGCCATCCTCCAGCGTGGCCTTGACCACATGGGCCAGGGTGCCGCCAAAGACCTCCCTGCTCTCGTACAGCACGGTTCCGTTGCCCAAGTCGGTGATGGACTGCCAGCGCTCGGCGTTGAGGGCGGGCGAAGGCGGATAGTACTTCCAGGCCAGCCTGCCCAGGTCGCGCTGCACAGCAGTGATGAGTTCGTACGAGGACTGCGTGTGCAGCAGATTGTCGGGCGTGTCCTCGTTGACAGGCAGGGGCAGCGAGGGGATCTGGACGCGGAAATAGGCCTTCTTGCCCTCGGCGGGGCGCTGTTCGGGCAGCGTCATGTTCAGGGGAGAGGTGACGACGGCATAGCGAACAAAGGGGTTCCAGACGGGGTAGTTGGCAAAGTCTGTGAGGGCGTCCCAGGCGGCATCTAGCGTCGTGTTGTAGATTTCGATGCGCGTGCTCACGTTGAAGACGCCCGGTTCGACGTCCGGGAGGTTGGTGAACTGGGAGAGGGCGGGAGTGGCGTATAGGAGGGCGCAGAGGGCGCAGAGGGCGCACAGAAGAGCCGACTTGAACATGGCGAGGGACGGTGCAGGCTATGGGCTCTCCCTGAGGACGACCCATCTGCTTTTCAACCTGTCCATATGGACGGGTGGGGGCGTCGCTTGCGGCTCGAGGAGCTCGGTTACGCTGATAGGTATGGCTTGAATCCAAGTAATTACCGATCCGTCCCCATCTGGGGCCTTGGCTCGTCTCGACGCCCATTCCCCGCACATGGTTACACAGGAAAAGACAGACAAGGAAAGACGAAAGAGCAATGGGGAGAGGCGAGCATGGGTATCGGCGGCAAAAGAAAAAGCAGAGAGCTGTCGGACAGAACGGGATGAAGGCGCAAAGTCATGGCGACGAGGGTGAGGGTGGTGTTGAGCGTGGCGAACCGTTGGGGAAAGGCGTGGGGAACACGTGCACGTGCACGTGCATGGCGTGGCACTATTGTTATGTAAGTGCTGCGCCACAGTTGGTATGCATATCGCAGTGCCAGTGCAGTAGTGCGGTACTCAAGTGTGGCGTCGTCAGGGGCGGGCGGCCCCGATGGCGGACGGGCGGACGAGAGCCAGGCGGGCCATGATGAATCGCATCAGCAGCGTCATGGCCATCAGCGTGGCCGTCAGCAGCGGAATACGGGGCGTGAGTTGTTGGGCGGAGGAATGCGGAGCTCGGGGGCACCGTGTAGGCGTGGAGAGGCGTGGACAGGCGTAGATAGGTGTCGATGGGGGGCAGGCCAAGGGCGAGAAGCGGGGCTGGCGGGCGAATCGACGGCGGCGGGCGCGGCATGCTCTCTGCACCTGCATGAGCTATCGCCATGCCCCTCGGTGCCAGTGCCGCAACACCTCACGGCCTGCATGGCCTCGCTCTCAACAAACGGCGGCGGGCGAGGATAGCATATCGCGGGCTGCATGACGTGCTGAGAGGGGGTTCCGACACTGCATGCCGCGCGAAGCTCCAGCCCCGCCGCCGCCCTGGGGATAGCTGCTGGCATGAGAGACTACTATAGTGCTAGCAGTGGCAGTAAGTACATGTACTAGATAACAGCCTCTCCCCCCACCGCACCGCGCCGCACTCTGCATCTCCAGGGCCCGACACAGCGTGACTCGGCACCGGGCGCCTGCACATCCACATCCACATCCACATCCACATCCACATCCGCATCCACAGCCGTCCATCCATACACACACATCCACATCCACACCTCCCATACCGCCCCATAGCCGCGCCGCGCACGCACGCGACTTGCATCCATTCACGAGCCGGCCGTCACCACGGCACATGACGCAACCGCCGCAGCTTAGCCCTCGTCCACCCTTCTTCTGCCGCCTGCACCCGTCACTCCCTCGACTCCCTCCTACACAACACCAACACCACTAACACGCACACATACATACACACGCACACACATACACATCCTCTCGCTGCTCGCTGCCCTGCCCCGTCAGCCAGCCAGCCAGCGCCCAAGACCCCCCCCCCTTCCACACGCCCGCCCAGCAGGTTGAATGAGCTCATCGCCCGAAGCCGCCGTCGACCAGAGCGCGCCTGTTTCAAATCTCACGTACCTGCACAAGCACCAGCCAAAGAACTCCAGGCACCACGACGCCTCCCTCCCCCGCGGCCGCAACTCGACGAGACATGAGCTGGGAAGAAGAAATAGACCGGGCGAGCGCGTTACCCGTATCTACCCCAGACAGGTGTATGTGACTCACTCTCCTCCCTCCCCTATCCACGCCTCCCTTCCCCCCAAGACGCAGACTGACGCCCGCCCCCCTCCCCAGGACAACCTCGCCTGCCTCTGCAAAGCGCCTCTCCTCAACGTCGCCCCCCACAAACTACAATGCCACGACGTCCCCCTTGCTCTCGGCCATTGGTGCCACGCGCAACACCGCCGCCCAGTACACCACCGAGTGGGCCAAGTCAGTGCCCTTCTTTCCCCACCAGGGCTCTCCAGGTAACGGCGCCATAGCCATCGCTGGCTCGCCGCCCACCTTTCACAACTCGCCCGGCGCGCGTGACGGTCTATACGCCCACCAGGCCATGTCCAATTCACCGCCTGCCCCACGGCCCCTCAGCCATCCTAATCAGTACACAAACTTTGGCGGTAGGATGCAGAACTCGCCGGGGACAGACCGCAGGGCGTCCGTCTACTCCCAAGGGGGCCGACCGCCCTCGCAGCAGTTTGTCCCCAACCCGCCCCTGCCACACCAGCCACAGGCACACTACTATGGCCTGCCCAACCTGGACTTTCTCAATAACCCCCCGGCCACCGGCCTCGTCCCTGGCCAGGACGGCTGCTTTTGTGGCTTCGACACGCTGTCCATGGCCGGCGACGAAGCCGCTCGCTCCGCCGAGAATGTGCTACTCATCGGATCCCAGGGTGGCCTCGATGTCTTTCGTGTCGAGAAGAGCAAGATGGACATTGTCGGCCGCCTCGAAGGTCTGCGTGGTGCTGTGATAGGCGCCAAAATCTTGCCCTGGACCTCGCGGAGAGATCCGCTGGCGGCATCCAGGCCTCTTGTTGCTCTCATTTTGCACGGCCCAGTGATCAAGGAGAGCAGGAGCAGTAGTGCAAGCGGCTCTTCGTCTGTGGCAGACGACTCGGCTTCGGATTCACCGAGCAGGCCGTCGTCGCGGCTGGGAAGCCATGAAAACGGCCAGATCAGCGGCTACCAAACCACGGTCGAGGTGTATTCGCTCAAAGAGAGACGAAGGCTGGCCGTTTTGTACAAGACACCCCTGGTCGCCCTCACCAGCCCAATCGACAGTCCCATGTTTCAGCCACCACCCCCAGTAGGCGACTTTGTGGTGGATGCCAAGGGAAAGTTTGTCGTGGTGGCTTCTGGCGCAAGTGGTGAAGTCTTTGTATTTGCCCCGTACACACAGGGCCACTTTGAGTATGCCGAGCGCTTCCGCTGCATCGGCAAAATGTGGACTTCTGTCCAGAATCGCGAGCGTGCCATCCATTCAACTGGTTCCAGTGCGGCCGACGGAAGCCACGATGAGACTCCGCCGGAAAAGTATGGCCTGCCCGTCTTCTCGCTCTCTGACCGCTGGCTTGCCCTCTCTCCACCGGCTTCGAGTTCGCTCTATCCTGTCAACGGCATGGCGCTGACGTCACCCTACTACGAGCGTGCCCCGGGCCTGGCACATCACAGTGTACCGCCCCAGCCATTGCCAAACTGTGCCGTTGATGCTCCCAACGAGGCAGGCTTGATTGACAGACTGACGCGAGAGGGAACTCAGGTCGCCATCAAGAGCGCGCGCTGGGCCACGGAAAAGGGAATGCAGGCTTTCAAGAGCTACATGAACAAGGGTCAGCAAGCTAACAATGCTTCGTACAACCACGATCCGATGCAGCATTACTTTCCCCCGACGCATGGCTACAACCAGGCGGCACCGCGACAAGAAGCAGCTGTTATATCCATCTTCGATCTGCAGAAACTGCTAGATGCAGAGGAGACCAGAAGCAAGAGTGCTCTACAGCCCGTTGCAACCATACCGGCGGCCCTCGGATGCAGCTTTCTGTCGTTTGCCCCCAGCGGCCTGATGCTCATGTCAGTGAGCAAGAAGGGTGACTATCAAGATGTCTGGGATCTGAAGCGTATGCACTTGCGTCGGGCGCGCAGGACCGCAAGGGAACAGCCTATCGGGCCACATGTCCGACAGGTTGCGCGCTTCACCCGCATGACGGTTGCAAATGTCATCGATGTCGTGTGGTCCGCCCCCAGAGTCGACAAGCTGGCGGTGATTACGGACAAAGGAACCGTACACATGTTTCCGATGCCTGCATCTGCATTCCAATGGCCGCCAGCTAGACGACTTCGCCCAGCTGCACAACCGGCCCAGTCTCAAGAATCTACCACTCCTGCTGGACCCACGGGCGCCGTCGGCTCAGCCATGCAAGCCATCAACAGTGCAAAGCCCTGGTTCAGTGCTGTTCGGACGAGGACCAATAGTGGCGGCTCTCGTTTTAGTCTCAGCGGTCTGGGTGTGACACCTGCTGTAGGCGCAAAGTCTGGCAAAGCCGTGGCTGCTGGTGTCGGCAAATCGATTAATAACATCCGCCATGCCGGCGACAACAAACTGACGCTCCCTTCAACGTCCAGCGGTGTCAAACCCTATAGTGTTCGTTGGCTGTCTGGACGGGGTCGCGGCTCAGTTGCACTAGTATCCGGCGGCGTACTCCAAATCTGGCGAGTCCAGATGCGACCTGCTGGCGGCAAGGGGAAATCGGCCAACACTGCGACCATTACCAAGCGAAAAGCTGTCGAGTTTGGCCTTGCTCCTATTCCAGACATAGCGCTTCCACCGTCGATCACGGAGCAGCTGTTCCCCCAGCCTGGTGACCCGGAACCTATGCAAGAGTGCTACGGAGACTGGTTACCACGAAGCTTGCCTTGCCGCAAACCTGCAGGACCTACTCTTGCGCCCCTCAGTTTCTCAGAGATTGAGACGAACCCGCCGTACCAGCCCTTTTACACGGATAAGCGTGTCACGCGATTTGTGTATGCAAGACAGGCATTAGAGGTTCAGGGCAGCACCAGCGAAGATCAGCCAGTACTTCCTGGACTGGTCTCGGACCTCCATTACGACGATCCATCACCGTGGCTATTTGGCGAGAGCGTCGAGGCGACCAAACTCTCCTCGCCCATGACGCAGGCCTATGACTCGGGCGATGATGATATTACGGGTGTGGCTGCCCGAATCGAGAATAAGCTCGTGCTGCGTGATGGTGAGGAAGAGGTGGAGCAAGTCGTCGTCACGACGAGACGCCGACGTATTAAGAAGGATGGCCTCAACGGCGATGAAGAAGGCTTCTTCGAAGATGACTGCGAGGTCCTCGACTTTGCAGAGGATCGCGTGTGAGCGACCAGCCCCCTGTGACTCCCTGTCCACCCAATGCTCACATCAGCATCCCACAATCGCTTACATCCCCCTCCTCTTCAACACATTGTATGTACATGGGACTAAAGGCGTACGCTTGGAATCGGCGCTGACGGCTTTGCTGTTGTTATTGCTGCGTTACTTTTGTCCTTTTTCCTTGATCGCCTCTCGTCCCCCCATATTACCTTTTGATATAGAAACCTTTTTAAATCAAGATACCACGCAGCAAAGGGTTAGCAGCAGCGCCTCTCATCTTCCTCTTCCTCCTCTTCCTCATCCTCTTTCTCCTCCTTCTCCCTCAACTTATAATGCCTTGTTTTTTTGGGGGGGCAATTACATATTCAAATCTCCCGATAGAACGGGGCGAGAGACGCATGATATATCTATATATATATAACGTGGTTCACAAGTGAGTCGCTACACACACCAACTTTTAAGCAGAAATCTTTCATCAAAACTCGTCAATTTTCTATCAG